AATGTTCACATAAAAATAAAATGTCATACTTGCAGTGATATTTTGAGGTTTCATTTCAAAAGAGAATTTATTATTTCTATAGCATTGAATATTCAACACAGAACAAAATATTTTTTTAAAACAACATTCAAAATGATCAATGAACTGAAAGTCAAATAGGGTAGGAATAGAAAGAGCAATGTTACTCATAATTAATGATCCCATATATTCTTCGATAATATAATTATAAATTTTTACTGATATATTTTTCATCTATGATTCGAGGAAAAATATTTTATTTTTTCACTAACTAACAAACAATCGGTAATAAGTGTATTATTTTGATCTCTTTATCAAAAAAAAAATAATTTAAATAAATATATTTTTAAATTTTATAATAAATTTTATAATATAATTTTTTTTATTTTATGAATTTTATTGACGTGCATTTCGTGCATGTGCAATTAAACTAGAGAAGTCAATATAACAATCATATTTTAATCAATATTAAAAGAGATGTTGCATTCTACTGGCATGCATTTCTAATTTTATAGCCAAAAGTTCACTTATAATACCTAATAATATGTCATTGCATAGCCAATAAAATTATATGAGGAACTTTTATACGGCTATATAGTTCACCACTAATTCCCTTAAGTGGTAAAAAATGTGCTCCAAATTTGATTTTCTTACAACAAACACATTTCCCTAAGGTCATCATCTTCCCAAAGAAAACACACACACACACACACACACACACAACTTTTTACCTTTAACCTAAATGCACATAATTTGATCAAAGTCTCTGCCCCTTTCGAGTGCTTTGGTCATTTTTTTAATTTCCTTTAATCCTCAAGGAAATAGCTTACATAATCTATGATAAGAAAATTTAGTCATGTCTTTACTTCTTCGCATATTGTCTAGCTTGCTCACATTAGTTATACTGATATATCATTTTTAAAAATATACTATATCATCATGGTTAAATCTTATATGACATTTGACCAGAATCATCATTAATTATGTTTTAAAATTGCACTCATTTCCTTTCATAATAGTACAAAAATGTAATTTCCTTCGAGACTTACTGAAACATTTTTTATGATCTCCTTAGTGCAATTAACCATTCTATCTCACATTACATTTTGTTAATTTTTAAGTTCAAATTAGCCTCTTTCACAAAACTATTGAAATTAGAAACTTCCCTTTTTAGTTTCATCAGCTTATCCTTGATCATTCATTTCTTTGCCTATAATTTAAAAATTTTTAAGGTACACATTTATAATAAGCATTCTAGATTAAGTAATTCAGTTTTTTATAAGAATGTTTAAATAATCATTACAAGGTAAAGTTTTATTGCTCTTAATGAAAATGAATGAGTCTAAGATTAAAACATTCATTTTAAAAAATTAATAAAATATTTTCAGATTTCCCTTAGTATGAGGTCATATATCATGAGGAAATCAAGTATTTCTTACCCCATCAATTTTAATTTCATATCAGACCCACCATTCACACTCATCCTTAAATTGCCACAAATTATTCTCTTCTCTTTGCCCAAGTGTAAATAAAATTTATGTTAAAATGTGAAAAATCACTATTATGTGTTGTAGTAATGTATCTACTTGCATTATGCATTCTCGTAATGCCCAATGATCCAAGCTCTTAGCCAATAAAGCCATGATTTACTGCGACACATTATTTCTAACTATTATTTTGGCCAGTTATCATTAGGCTAGGGAAGACATGACAAAGCATATCTCCTATTCCTGCACTCGCAGCATGCTACAAAATACCATTTGATATAACTTCCAAGCAAATCAGAACTTCCATCCAATCAACTCTTCCACCTGCTGCTAGCACCAAAGACCCCCCCATCTTTCTATCATAGCATCAAGAGAACCAATAAACCTCCCATCCATCTATCTCACAAAATCGAGGGATCCATGTCCTCTCGGTCTCTCACTCTTTCATGGCCCCAACTCCCTCCATATCAAATAATAATGGTCTCTTCCCAAAGAATCAAATTCATTCTATTACTAATAGTAATAAATTTACCCTATATAAGACCTGTGAAATTGCCCTAATAGTTGACAAAACAGTAACTATGAATTTGAAAATTATAAACCAGAAGTTTCCCAGCTACGTATAATGTAAATCATCATTCTCCTAGTCTAAGACTATAGCAAATCATCTTCTGACTATTTGGCATTTCTTACTCCAAAGTTTCGTAATGCAAAAAAATGTTTTCTTCTCATACTAGGTGTTTTAAATGTCAATAGAAAATTACATTTATGTTGAACAGCTTCAATTAAATATAAATTAGTAAGATTTTAATATGTATACATTATTATGTTGAATGCTAAAACCTTGACACTTTTACATTTCTCAAATTAGCAAAAAGTAAATTGTGATAGTAAAAAGTGGAGTAATGTAAGTTGGCAAGGAGGTGAAGTTCTCAGTCATAGAAAAAGTAGGATTAAATGCATCCTATATTCAATAAATATGTAGAATTGCCAGATTAGAGAGTGGCCAAAAACGACTGGGTAAGTGAATTTCATAAAGACATGCATATGCCCCAAAGATAAAATTGTAAAATAGCAACAGGCCTAGTTGAGGTATAAGAATTGAAATGTTGGGAAACAAGTCACCAATAACAATTAGAGTGTGGCAAAAAAGATAATTCCAAGATGAATGTGCTGAATTTGGAAAGAAAAATTGATGTATGAGGATTTAACATTTCAATGAGAATTGTACTTGTTTAAGATAGTAAAAAATAGAGCTTTTGTGATTTAGGCAAGTACATCTTAAAGAAAATGATGCAAAATAGCAACAGGCCTAGTTGAGGTATAAGAATTGAAATGTTGGGAAACAAGTCACCAATAACAATTAGAGTGTGGCAAAAAAGATAATTCCAAGATGAATGTGCTGAATTTGGAAAGAAAAATTGATGTATGAGGATTTAACATTTCAATGAGAATTGTACTTGTTTAAGATAGTAAAAAATAGAGCTTTTGTGATTTAGGCAAGTACATCTTACAGAAAATGATGCTCCAATTAATCATTTAAATAGAATAAGTAAAATAATTAAATAAATAATAGTATGAGTAGAAGCTTTAAAACAAGTGAGCACACAACCATACATTATAGGAATAAGCGGTAAAGAATTCATGAAGCAGGTTGAAAATAAAAGGAGAAGATTAATGATGATAATAATGGATAATGATGAGACATAAAACTTAGTACAAAACAAGGATGCGATTTTAAGCTTCTTCTACACAAAAAAGGTTTAGAACTTAAAACATAAAAAAGTTTTAAATGAAGGAAAGATAGAATACAAGAAAATAATCATCTTAAATTATAAGCAAGTCATAAACAAGATGGAACGCACACTGAGAATCACAAGTTTCAAAATCTCCTCACTAGAAAGAAAACTAAAGATATAGACACCCATTAACTCTTGGAAAGTGCAGAGTAGGATGAAGAAATTTGGAAGAAAAAAAAAATATCCCTGATGATATGTTTGTGGATTCATGAATTGAAAGGAAAATTATTTGGACAAACCAAGAATGATTAAGGGTCATGATGAGGAGCCTTACAAATAAAGGCAAAGAAATAAGCAAGCTAATGAACCAAATTGTCTTCTTAGTTGGAGTTGGTGGCACTAATAATTTCATGTGTCAATCGGAGGAACGTTAAAGCAACCAAACAACATGATGAACAATCGAAAGACGTAAAATTCTGGATATCAGGTCATTTATTGGTGAACAATTATTGTGTACGACCATTACAGAATGACTTTAGACTTGGGTATGCCCCTACACAAAAAAATACATGAAAACTATGTGAATAGCACATCGTATCAAAACAACCACAATGACAAACTCATGATTTATGGTTAGAAGGTGTGATCTCTTTAAGTTCCAATGGACGTATAAGGCACTTTGGGATATGATGCTTCCCCAATATAGCTTCCTAGGATGTGAGTCCCATCCTAAGATTCATAACATAGGATAGGGCAGCTTTGCCTAACTTTCCTCACTTATACTAACGAGAAAAATGAGAATAGAAGGCAACAACATTCCATCAATGTGTTCATATCAAAAAGGGTTATATATTAGGCACATGCCTGAATCCTAATGCTATTTAGAAAAATAGGTAAAGTGCTAGTTTCAGCGTTTAAGACTCATTTCACCTAAATCATCTCAAATCACTTCTATCAATCTCATCAAACGATAAAAAATCAATGTAAGCTAAAAAATAGTTCCTTAAGACTATAAATCTATATCAATATATATATATATATATATAATATATATAATAATCAACCTAGCCAGCTAAGGTTGAATTCGAGACAAGTTCAAGTGAGTTTGGCTCTAATCAAAATTGGAATTCTTTACTCCAAAAATATGGCATAATCAAGTTAGCTAACTTCGGTTGAAATTGAGCAAGTTCAAAAAAATTTGGCTCAACTCAAATTGAAATTTTTTATTCTAGGTGTACTCAAAGTTGACACCAAATCAAAATCATTTACGGTTGAGCTGATTTGACTCAACAATTTGATTTCAAGTCAACTTAAAATTGAATTTTAATTTAAGTTAAATTATAAATATCAATATTCTATTATAAGTTATATTATATGATGAACTTACAATAATTTTTTTAAAAAAAGAAAAATCCTTGATCTAAATTACATTTTGAATTGACTTGAATGGTATTCAAGCGATCCAAGGAAAACTTGAAAATGAAGCAAGCTCAAAATCAATTCGAATCCATTCACAATCAAGTCAAGATCTAGCAACATTAAAGCAGTTAAGAGTTTAAGGTGTTTGCTAGCCCCATGCCAGCGCAGACCTCAAAAATTGAGCCTAAAAGTTCAAATTTAGATTTATAGATTCGAAAAAATAACTGTGGCTAGAAAGAAAATAGCAGTATATATTTATCTATAGAACGATATTTAATATTACTCTACCAAAAACCATATTTAAGTGAAAAAAAATATATGAGAAACTGACACTTACGTCTTAGATAATGCATCAAAAATGCTCTGGGCTTCGCTAGTGACACCAACACCAATTCTCTCTGCTTCTATTTCAGCTTGCCTGCAATCCCCAGTGCCAATCCAAAAGATGAAATACTATTTAAGATTCTTATCAGAATAGCACGTTTAGGCATTTGACCCAAAACTCAAGCCCACGGCAAAGAACGGATGAAAAACCAAAATTTCCCAAACTTCACTCACCAAACCTAAAAAGGCCAAAGCGAACGTGAATAAAAAGGGAAAAATTCTAAATAAATAATACCTTAAAGCAGCTTCCTCCCTTGCTTGCAATACTGCCAGATCGAGGAAACATTTTTTGCTGTCAAGCGGGTTATCGCCGCATCGCAGGGAAGTGTGATCCTTGATATAGGTCGTTTTAAGAAAACGAATATTCCGGCGCCCGCCTGGCTTCGAAGCTCCCTCCTGTACGCTATCAAGGTCAAGAAATCCAATATATGGAAAGGAAAATAAGACGGCGGAGAAAGATCAAAGATTGATGAGGGAAGGATATGAATGATGACGATGTTGGTAGGGCGGTCATAGGTGATGATCTGCCCCTCGAATTCCTCGCCAAGTGTTGTTATGAAGGAAAAGACGAAGCCCACCCCAAGCTCCTCGCCGACGGAGGCGTCCATTGCATCCCTTCTCTACTTCTGCCGTTGAAGATCCCCGAAATCCGCTCATAAGCTGTTGCAGTCAACAAAACGGAGAAATAACGAGCACCGGACGCCCTACTTCCAGAGCCAAGCCGTCAACCATCAAATTCTGGCATGGTTAGATTGGTTAAAGGACTAACCTCAACACGCCTCAAATAAATAAACGGTTATGAATTGGGAAGTAGTCCTTTGTACCCATTTAAGAAAGACATTATTATTGACCTAGGTTTAAGATTGTGAAAATCAGATCAAATATTGAATCAGATGAATGTGAGGTTTAAAGTTTAATAATTAATGCTAGTTGAACTGAAAATTTATTCGGATCATGAAACAAATATTAAATTTAATTTTATATAGTTTAAATAATATATTAATGATATAATAACATTACTTTATCGATTTAATAAATAATATTATAATTTAAGATAGTTTGATTTTAAAAATTTTGAGTAATACTCTAAATCAACATTTAAAGGTATGACATTTATCCATTTTCATTTAAATATAGTATTTCAAGCCATTTGATTAAGAAAAGGGTTAAAATTGGTTCATTAAAAACTGAACAAATTCATGATTCATGAGTTCAACTTGATTCTCACCGATTCATTCTCAGTTCAATGCAACAATGAGTTTGAGCTTGAACATAACCAATTGAACGACTGGTTCACTATGGAACTAGTTTAAAAAGCTGATCCGATTTGATTTTTAAAATCATGCCTGGGATGATGAAGTCATCCATCAAGTCCAACATGTTAAACACTAGTGATCATTTTAAAGAAACTCAAACTCACTAGAATCAACATTAATACCATTAAAATTATTTGATCTATCTTTAAATCACTAAATATCACAAATAATAATAATAGTAATTTTTCACATCAATATATGCATTATATTCTGTAGGAGATAATCCATAGTTGTTAATTGAATTCTATGATTAGTGTAGAAATATGATCATCCATCATTAGCAAGTTAGGTCTAATTGACCTACAATGATGAGATTATAAGATCTTAATAGCACAATTCCATTTTTATCACAACATAAATAATTATAAAACATCTTAGGAACTTTAATTTAAGTGTTTATATCAATTTTTAATTAAAAATTATTATGTAGGTTCTTTGTACAATTATAAAGCTTTAATTAATTTTAAAATGTATCAATGTATCAAATGGATGCATGTATTGTGTTACAACCAAATACTTGTAACTTCAATTGTAGTCAGAGTAGCACATGAGCAGTTCAAAGTGAACTAGCAATTTATCTATTATTATTTCGTGTGCAGATTATAAATTTCTCTTTATTAAACTAGGATACTCTTCCATTGATTTTTTTTTATTCAATTCATGATTTATAGCTTCATAATTGATAAGAATAACATTTTTTTTTACTGTCCTAAAATTTTATTATCAATTATTCAATATGGAGAGTTCAACATGATTTTTTTTCTTATGATGCTCCTTTTGATAGAAAATCGTTATGCTTATCAATAAACTAGCATGTAATCAAACACCTATTTTTTTTTTTCAAATGAATAACTTATCCCTCACCATTTTCAATACATTTCTTGAGAAAGAGATCACTTACAAGAATATTGTTTTATGAGGCAACATTTATGCATCCATTATTATGTAAATTCAACCTTGATTTTCATTCTAATTAGTTTAACAAACCAATGGAGCCTTTTATTATTTAAATGTATTATTCTTCATTTATGTTATAGGACAAACAGATTTAAAAAAAACCACAAATATAATATTACATGTTAATAAATGTTTACCTAATAGTTTTCCCTATATGTCCAACATGAACATAAAGAAACAACTTTTAAAAAAAGGTAATCACTTCATATGGTGCAATCACAACTCTTGAGGCTTTGAAGTTATTGGAAAGTGAAACTAAGATAAATAGAAAGAAATTCATGTGTACTTTTTCTCTAGTTTTCGCAAAGGCATCTGACTGCATATTTTTAATGTACAAAAGATATATTAAATCTCTATTATACTTTTTGAAACAATCACAATACCTCATCAGTGTTAGCTAGTGAAAAAAAAAACAATTGTTGTTAAGTGTTTTATTGCCTGTTAATTACTAAGGAAAAAAATCAAGCTTCTTATCTTTTTTTTCAGATTTAACACCTGATAGGAACTATATGTTGCTAGATCATCAATTTCTGGTCAAAAGATATATAAAGTTCATCAAAATAAACTTTATATTGCGTTCAGCTTGAAAGATTCCTTCTACTAATGTTGTGAATTACTTAATGTGAGAGCTTTGTTGGTGTTACATTAAAATACAAGAATTTAAGACTTAGAAATGTTGGCAGAGAAAGCACTTTTATGTTTTCTCGGATGATATGATGAGGGAAAAGCTCTCGCTATGGTTTGAGTGAGAGAATTAAATGATAAAAAGGCTTCCAAAAGTGGCTTTATTTAGCACTTGAAAGTAACCACACAATTATAACATAAAATTTAAATTTCAAACAATAATAAATAAAAAAGAAAATAATTTTAAATTAAAATTAAAAAGAATGAAAACATGTTATATGATTATTGTAAAATTAGCCTAAGATTATCCTAAATTATTTGTATTTGCAATTAACTTCATTTATTAAGTTTATAATGATTACATGGCAAAATATGATGTAATGAATGTTGTGAAACCTAGATAATTAAAATTATGTTGTGATTGACATGAGCAATAAAAATAATTAAAAAATTTAATTTTTAATTTTATAAGTACAAAAAATATGATTAATGTTGTATAAAAAAACTAGTAAGAAATAATAAAAGTTATTATTAGCAATTATTGTATGGCACCATTCATTATGGTGAAAGTTAATCAGTATGGTGCTCTGGATATCAAGGATCCGATTTATGATAGAATTTTCAAAGTAAATGGACTTAAGCTGAAAACTTACTTTGATGGAAGTAGACCTATATTTAATAAAATCCTAATG